ACATTTCAACACACTTCAGCAATAAAAAAGACACAAATGTTTGTCTAGAGTCATTTGTGCTTATTAGTACGGTTGAACTGAATCATCGAAGCTCAGAAGCAATGACATTGGTTAATAGAATGGGATTAAATACATAAAGGATATTTGTGATGTTTAACATTTAATTATTGCAGGTTTGCGTCATATTCTGAGTTGCATTATTTTTATTCATTTTGAGGAATACTGAATCTGTGTTTTTTGTGTGTGTGTGAGTGAGATGAATTAATGCACATTCATATTTATTTTAGAACTACAGTAACATCTGATTTCTCTCAACATGGGGACAGCAGAGCTGTCAATCAATCAATTGGAAAAAAAGTAACTTGCGTTACTTATCTGAAAAAGTATCTCAGATAATCTCTTGTAAATTAAAAAGTAATGCGTTAACTCGCGTTACTTGTAATGTGTTACCCCAAACACTGCTAATAAGCAAAAATGACTTTAGATAAACTAACAATTGTGCTTTGTTTTTTTATTGCTGAGGAGTGTTTCTTCTCCTGCGTTCTACTGTACAGACGTGAATTTACTTTTCCTTCAGCCTGAGGTTTATTCATTACACTTTTTGGTGTGAAAGGGCTTTTATATTTGCTATAAATAGAACTTTTTATATTAAAAACAATCAAGCCCTGCTTATATTTAAAAAGTAACGCAAAAGTAATATAACACATTACTTTCCATAAAAAGTAACTAAGTAACGTAATTAGTTACTTTTTTAGGGAGTAACGCAATATTGTAATGCATTACTTTTAAAAGTAACTTTCCCCAACACTGATCATCAATAGGTCACTTAGTTTGATGTAAACAATGCATAGGCCTAGTTCAGTCTGTTTGAGAAGTGATTTGCTAAAAATGCCACAAGAGGGCATAAGGTCTACTGAATATTGATGATAATGCCAAAAAGACTGCACATTAATTATATACCAGACAACAAATCCTTGAAAGGTGTGCTACTTTGATTCTACGCATTCACGTAACCTATGCTTGTCGTACTGTATAAGTCTACTAACGTCGCTGTTCACCATGTTAAACTGTTTTCTCCACAGAAATCACTGATCCAACAATTACGTATCACTCAGCAAATATTGATTAATCCTCTTCTATTGACCAATTAAATACCAGATTTTCTGCTGTGGTCAGAAGTGTGCGCTGATAACACCGAGATAGTAGGATTTCGCTTCATTGCTTAGAGGCTGTAAACACAGATAAACACGAAGGTGAAAAGTTGAACATTTGTTAGAGTAATGATGTCAAGGTAAGGCCACGGCAGTAAAAATAAACTCAAGTGTGTGAAAGTGCAGGAAAAAAACCCGTAAACGCGCCACAACACAATATGAATCAGTAGCTATTTCTATAGGGACAGTATTTTTCCATTTTTATCGTGAGCATTTTATTACAATATATGAACAAGAACAACGTTGAACCAAAGCTGCTTTAATAATATGACATTCTCTGGTTAAACAGAGATTTCCTTGATTTTGCAAACTTCCACAAGCGATGCCCGATTCGCAAATGAATCATTCCTTCGATTCGGATCTTTGCAATGATTTTTTTATTTTCTATTTTGAGATCCCAGCAAATTGTAAAAAAAACAAAAAAAACCAGACAATCATTGCACATATTAAACCGCTGCATAATTCGCATTGCTTTCAAATTTTTACTTGTAGATATTGTTTCCAAATATATTTAATGCAATTTTTTTTTATTTAAGGCCTTTTTCAAAGAATTATATATCAGGGATCTTCAATTAATTGTTTGATCCGGTTCACACAACCAGTTTTTATTCTGAATAGGATTGAAGGATTTGTTCACTAATCAGACCGAATCATTTGAGTCAACAACCGACTCACTGAACGATTCGTAATGAGCCAAGCCAAAGGGTTAGTTCACCCAAAAACAAAAAATTAGGCTGTGTTTTACTCACCCCAGAGTCATCCTAGGTGTATATGACTTTCTTCTTTCAGACGAATCCAGTCGGAGTTATATAAAAAATTGTCTGTGATCTTTCAAGCTGTTTAATGGCACTCAGCGGGTGTTGCATGCATCAGTCCAAAAGAAGTTAAATAAAAAGCGCCCATACATTAAAAAAAGCGTCTCACACGGCTCCGGGGGGTGAAGGGTGGACAAAGGCCTCCTGTAGCGAATCGATGCGTTTTTGTAAGAAAAAATATCCATATTCAAAACGTAATAATCACTTTAATCTAGCTTGCGCTCACTGTTGTAAACGGAAGCAGTTCCGGGTGGATGACGTATGAGGTCAGGTCAGAAGTGACGAACGCGGAAACGCAGCGGAGAGATCGAAACAAAACAATGGTCACTAATTAGAAATTTCAAAATGAGGATTTGTAAAGAAGAATGTCGGAGGATTTCAATATAAGCCAAGAGGAGACTGGTTTTCCTTTGCTAAAGTAAGGAAGCTTTGCTTCCTTTGCTCCTGTAAACAAATGTTGGTTTTCACGAGACTCATCGGCGCATGCGCAACGCTGACCTCATACGTCATCCGCCCGGAGCTGCTTCCGTGTAGGACTGTTGGCGCAAGCTAGATTAAAGTGATTATTACATTTTGAATATGGATTTTTTTTCTTCCAAAAACGCATCGATTCGCTACAGGAGGCCTTTGTTCACCCACCGGAGCCGTGTGAGACACTTTTTTTATGGATGGGTGCTTTTTATTTAACTTATTTTGGACTGATGCATGCAACACCTGCTGAGTGGCATTAAACAGCT